AGGCCCTTCTAACAGACGTCTTAATGCCTGACAGGTAGGCGAAAAGTCATTTTTTTCGCCTTCGAGACGTCTGATCCCGCCATCCCGACTTCCATATTCGATTATAGACGTCGGGGCCCCTCCAAACAGACGTCTTAATGTCTGATACGTAGGTGAAAAGTTATTTTTTTCGCCTTCGAGACGTCCGATCCCTCCACCCCGACGTCTAATTCGATTATAGACACCGGTGCCCCTCCTAACGGACGTGTATATGCCTGACAGGTAGGTGAAAAGTCATTTTTTCCGCCTTCGAGACGTCCGATCCCACCACTCCGACGTCTATATTCGATTATAGACGTCGGTGTCCCTCCTAACAGACGTGTATATGTCTAACAAGTAGATGGAAAGTTATTTTTTTCAGTCGTGCAGACGTCCGATCACGCCAACAGACGTCTAAATGGCCTGTGAAAGTTGTTTTGGACGTCATATTAGTGAGTGCCCTGACGTCTAGTTTAGAATAGACGTTGGGGCACCTGAGGAGCCAACCTCTAGTTTGCTGTTAAATGAGACATGAAATCCGCTGTTACGAGCACTTCATCGTCTTCCTTCTCTCGCCTTTTCTCTCTGCGGCATTGTTTTCCCAGGTGCGTTTTTGTCTCTTTTGAACTGTTTAAACGTACTTTTATTCCGATTATATTAGTCTTTGTTTGATTATCTTTCATTTGAACCGATTAAAATGAGTTTTTTTTGTGTTTTGGTGCAGTTTTTCTCGTGTCTTTGGGTAGCGTTGTACTGCATTCTCCCTTTGCTAGTTTCCTCGTAAGAAAAGCTTGCGTCTTTTGGATGCCTTATAGCGTTTCAACCCAAAACCGAACTTCGGTCCTTGCCTAGTTCTATTGTCACCTCTCGTTTTCATTGTCGGTTTTAATGGAACTAGGCAAGGACTCAGATTCGGTTTTTGGTTGAAATGCCATAAGAGATCCAAAAGACGCAACCTTTTCTATGACGAAACTAGCAAAGGGAAGAAGGTGCTACACTACTCTACCCAAAGACACGAGTTGTAGTAAACGTCGACAGACATCGGTTACTGCATGACCCGACGTCTATAAAGACGTCGAACCTGTTGGTGCCCGTCGTTTGATTAACGTCACCATAAAGACGTCGGTTTTGGACCTGACGTCTATAATTATTTTATAGGTTTTTGAGTATATATATATACTGTCTCTTAT